ATATGGTTTTCCTTTATCCATTGTATCTGATAGAGATACCAGGTTCACAAGTATGCCATGGCAAAAGCTGATGGAGGTATACGGTACACGTCTGACCATGTCGTCAGGTAGACACCCTGAAACGAATGGGCAGAGTGAACAAATGAACCGTTTGTGCCAACAGCTTCTGCGCATGTCTGTAAGACCCGATCAAATAGATTGGGATGAGAACTTACCTAAGATAGCAAGTGCATAAAATAGTAGTGTTCATACCTCTACAGGACGAACCCCTAACGCACAGCATAAAGGGTGGAAACCTAAGCGTCCCATTGATGTATTGACGAGGGACCCGTTTCTTAGGTTACCTCCAGAGACCCGCGAATACGCAGTATTGTTTTAAGAAGACATTAAAAAGGTAAAGGAGAACTTAAAGAAAACTCAGGACCGGATGATCGAACAAGCTAATAAGCATCGACGACCATCAACGTTCAAAGAAGGTGATTTGGTCTGGGTCAAGTCTAAGGAGTTTTCACTAGAAGAAAATGTCTCTCAGAAACTCCTACCTATCTATTTTGGACCCTGGGAAGTTCTTAAAGTGATTGGAGATGCAGAGGGACCGTCTTATAGGATTGATATACCCCCTCATCTCAGGACCTATTCTGTTTTTCATGCGTCTAAGTTGTTACCTTATGTAGAAGGAGATGAATTCCCCCATAGACCATCTATGATACCGCCAGATATGGATGGTGGATATGAAGTGGATTGAATTATAGAACAAGGATTCTTCTCTACAGGTGCACGAGGACGACCCCAAAAGCAATTCAAGGTTCGTTTTAAAAGTCAGAACCCATCTGAGGACAGATGGTTTAGTAAAAGAGAACTCCTTGAATCTGCTCCTGATATCGTCTCTGCTTATGAACGTGGGTTGAAATCTTAATGTTTCTGCGATGGAACTCGAAATTTGGGTCGGCAGGAATGCAGTAACCCTGTTCAGCAGCAGACCGGGGCTAGGAACTTTGCCCCCGGTAAGACACAGACTCAGTTGTCTGTGCTGGGCTATGTGACCGAGTCTGTCGAGGAGGCTGTGTGACCAAACGCAGCACAAGGGAAATTCAACAGTCAAAGACAACTGTAGAGTCAAAGGTACCGCACCCAGGCCTATGGTC